ATCACTTGTGGATTTTTTGTTTGCATTCTTTGAAAGTTTGAATAGTTTTAAGTTTGTTTCTCAAGCTCAAGTGTAAGACGTAGGTAGAGATTCTTTCCTGTGTGCTCAAGTGAAGAGTTATTAATATGTTTTGTTTTTTTCTTTGCCTACTTTGCAAACGCGATACACATTCCCTGACAAAGTTTCATCAAGTCGCAGTCTTCATATGGGCGTCCTTTGGTCCACAAAGACTTCTATTTGGTTTAATTTGGTTTTATATTCAGAAAGAGTGTAAGTAATGTTAATTGTTTTGCACTTATAATACTTCCATAACATATTTTTTTGTAATAATAGGTACCTATAATTTATTTTCATCTCATCTTTCAGTGTAAAATAATGGCTCCACATACGGGTTCGGCTACTCCTGAACAAATTGATGCACTCCTCAATTTCCTGGACGAGCATAGGGATCTTGCTCGCGGGAGATTGAGGAGTCTAGAAGGAAAAGTCCAGGCGAAGAGGTTGTGGGATGAATTGTGCAATACGCTCAATTCCATGGGCGGTTGCACAAAGACAGTTCAGCAGTGGCAAAAGGTAATTCGTAGTAATATAATTAAATGCTTAAGCTATTTATCAGTGAAAAGTGAGTGACAAAGATTTAATATTTACTTTTATTTTGGATAGGTATGGTTTGATAGAAAACATCTGGCCAAAAAAGCCGCTGCTGATTCCCGGAGGTCGGCTTCAATGACTGGAGGTGGTCCATCAGTGGCACCCCAACTCTCCCATTCGGAATTAAAAGTCTTATCCATAATGGGAGATGGGTTCGGTGACCGCCAAATTGGAGCCAGAGTGCCAGCTTTCACTGAAGTAAGTACCTCATCATTCTTTGGTTTCCCTATTTCTAAACTTTGATATGTTCAAATATTTATCTTAATGATATATGATTTTTATTTACAAAATTATTTTTCTATGTGAGTATGCTACTTTTTTTAACCCATCAGGTAAAAATACAATACAATTTGTATTGTGGTAGACATTAAAAATTAATACTTCACTTAAACATTAAGCATTCAATCTTTTATATTCATTTCAGACGAATTAATCCAGACCATCAACCTACAGTCAAGGAAGCCAACTGCAGCAGCAGAGCCTGGACTTGCATGTAGAAGTTGAGGAGTACGCCGACCCAAGCAAAGAAAGCCAGCAGGTCTACTCTAATTCAACGAAAAACGAAATTTCGATCGAAATTGATACACAAGAAGGTATGTATGGATGTATTTGATACATGAAGGTTTTACCACTAAACTGCAGTCGAGATTAAAATTACAAGAAAAATATTGTTTGTCACAAAAAATATACTTATTGATTAAGTATTTACTGCAATGTAACATATTGGAATGTTGTTTTGCAGCCTCACAATCTGCACGTCCCAGAAGAATACGATCTGCTGCTGGCTCCAATGTCAGAAGCAGGTTGTACCAGTATGAAGATGGACGTGCAGGGAGAGAGACAGTGAGGAACACCGAGCTCGCAGGCATCAGGGCTGCCTTGGAAGAGTTGCGTGACATAGGGCGAGATTATTTAGAGTTTTTAAGGCAAAATAGGCGTTAGGTTTTAAATAAATTTATTTTTGAATACTATTGTTTCTTTTTACTATTTTTGAGACTATTTGTACTTTCAGATTAAGAAAGCTAAAATAAGAACTTTATTATTACTGAGAGTTGATTATCATGACCATAATTCGATATAATATAAAGATACTGTTAAGTATTTAAAATCATAGAAGTTATTATTTTCTCTGTATGTGACAAAATATCTGCAATGTCATAGGTAAGGATTAAGTAAATATTTGTTGCCATTTTATGAACATCTAGGTAGGTAGGATAACGATAAGTAGGTGAAAAAATAAAACAGAACTAATTTTATGCCTAAAAATATTTTAATCTAGGCTGTTACAAGCACTTGTGAATGTCAAAGAAGCTACGCCATCGGTTCTCAAACCCTAAGCGGGAGACCTTGTAACGAGAAGACCCGGCAAGAAACTCGTTAAGGGCTGATTTTTTTCTCCTTGTATATTTCATACAGAGTCATCAAATTTGTAAAATGACCTTTAAGGTAATGTAATTTTACATCACAAAAATTAACAAAAGTTTACATACAATGGGCAGGTATTAAAATTAATTATCTACACATCGGAAAGGTAAGAGCAAATAACTTTCAACTAGTTGAGAAATCACTGTCTACTAGGTACCTACTCGAAAATTCATACCTAAATAGATGATGTTGTACAATATGCAATATTAACTAAATTCATTAGACATAAAAGTTAACATTAAAAAAAACGCATTGCTTACAATTATAACAAGATAAGAAGTGTATGTTTTAGGTAAGAAGTGAGTGCCATACATTTCAGTAATATTAATTCCTAATCCTTATATTATAAATAAGAAAGTATGGATTTTGATTGTTACTTAATCACAAATAAACGGCTTAAATGTGGCTGATATGATGATGATGATGATCTCCTAAAACAAAAAAAAAGTTTTTTATTGAGTTTATTTTAATCTACTTGCACAATTGTTAGGTTTGAGTTTATCTTACCGGTTCCTTTCTAACATTTGTATTAATGAATTCCTTGCCCTTCGACCTGCCTGTAGAGCTTGAGTAGAAGATGCGGCTGTTTCAAAGGGAACCTGCCTGGTTCTCTCCGATTGGTGTTCCTCTTCAGTCAACTCGGGACCTTCAATACCAGCCCTTATACACATGTTGTGTAAAACACAGCAGGCTAATATAATTTTACCTGCTGTTTCTGGGCAGTAATGGAGTTCCCTAGCTGCCAAAAGACATCTCCATCGACCCTTCAATACACCAAATGTGCGTTCTATGGTGCAGCGTACACGTTTTTGGAGGTAATTGTACCTTCCCTCTGGAGAGTTCTCAACAGCATTATCTACAGGTGTCATCATATGCTCCCTTAGAGCATAACCAGAATCACCTAAAAATTTAAAAATATAATATTAGTGTAAATTGCATCATCACATTACTTACACATAATGAATATCAAAACTATAAATCAAGACATGTCTAATAGATAAACTGTTTCATCCTGGAGACCCTCCAAGTGGTTTCTTATCTCACATTCCTTCCAAATATAAGCGTCGTGAGTTGCTCCACCATATGAAGCATAAACATTTGTAATTAATAAATCACTGTCGCATATCTGAAAAAGAATTTCCATCAATGTAACATAGGATAAAATGTAAGTAATAAAATAGTGAATGTCATAATAAAAACATTAAAATATTGTACATAAACTTACAACTTGAGTATTAATCGAATGAAAATGTTTTCGATTAAAATATCGTTCCTCGTGCTCCGAAGGCCTCACTATGGCTACATGTGAACAATCGATGCACCCCACCACAGCGGGTAGCCCATATTTATCATAAAACCTACAATAAGGATACAATATTATTATAGAATAGTAAATTGTACAATAAAATTATATTTGTTTTTGCATGACTTATTTGCCTAGTCTTGGCACACTTTTTATGTAAATTGTTCATTTAAAATAACAGAATAATATTTTAATTACTAGGTATTTCACATGTTAATAAGTTTAACGGTCAATACTAGATAGGAAGGTAAGTACTTACTTCTGCTTAATAAGATTCCTTTCATTCCTATTTTGTGGGAATCTTATGTGCTTCCTTAGTATGTGGGGTGCATTAAGTGCAGTTGTTACCTCTTGTAAACAACGGGACACTGTCTGTTGTGCCATGGGCCCATCCATATTTTGTCCCACTGACCCCTGGTAACTTCCTCGGGCATAAAAATTCAAAGCAGTAAGTATCTGAAATACATTAACACAGATTGAGGCTTATGAACAGTAAAATGAAAAATTAAAGAGAAGGGAGTGTTTAAACAATTTAAACTTACTTTAAGTGTGGGCTCGATTCCATGTCGTCTTCCCTTTGGAGGCAATAAAGGCACTATGTCCTGGCACAACTCCTCGAATAATTCCCGACTGAGTCTGTAATTTCCGACAAACTCTAGATCGGGAATATTTGAAATATTTAATTGATTACGCAGGCGGCGCCGGTTCCTTCTACGCTCCAATCGTTCTTCACGTAAAGCAGCCGCGATTAAAAGCTGTCTCGTAGCCATTTTAGTTAAATTTTTAACAAAATCGACCAAAACGAAAATAAAAAGTCTGGTTTCGTCAATTTGAGGTTAAAATTACGAACAAGTATCTGTCAAACTTCAATTTTCGTTCGTAACTTTAGTGCAATAGAGTAGGCTTAGAGAATTTAAACGTCAAACTAATTTCGTTTCAACGAAGTTTCGAATCGAATGGAACCATGGTAGGAATTGAGCGAAATTTCGATCGAAATTTCGTTTTTCGTTGAATTAGAGTAGACCTCCTGGCCTGTCGCATTTTTTCAGTATAAATGGTCTGAGAATCGGTTATTTTGTAAGAAAGTTATAGGCTTTTAAATTTTAGTGTGATATTTCCCGGATACCTAGGCAAATAATCAATAAAATCATTTATATATTTTAGTGTTTTTATTATATCTTTCTTTATATATGGCACCAGAAATGACAAAATAATAAAAAATAAATTATAATCGAAAAAAAAACAAATTTGAAATTAGTGACGATCACTGAAACACTTTTACAAAAAGCCACTTCACAAACAGAACATTTGGTTACTACTTGGGAAGCTTTTCACGGTTTTCCGTCGATGGTTTTTCCTTTCCTGCCGTTTTTTTATAGCATTTAGAGCAACGGCCTTTCTTTTTCATTCAGTCTTTTATACTATTGACCAGGAGGTCTACTCTAATTCAACGAAAAACGAAATTTCGATCGAAATTTCGCTCAATTCCTACCATGGTTCCATTCGATTCGAAACTTCGTTGAAACGAAATTAGTTTGACGTTTAAATTCTCTAAGCCTACTCTATTGCACTAAAGTTACGAACGAAAATTGAAGATTGACAGATACTTGTTCGTAATTTTAACCTCAAATTGACGAAACCAAAAGTGTTAACTTTTTATTTTCGTTTTGGTCGATTTTGTTAAAAATTTAACTAAAATGGCTACGAGACAGCTTTTAATCTCGGCTGCTTTACGTGAAGAACGATTGGAGCGTAGAAGGAACCGGCGCCGCCTGCGTAATCAATTAAATATTTCAAATATTCCCGATCTAGAGTTTGTCGGAAATTACAGACTCAGTCGGGAATTATTCGAGGAGTTGTGCCAGGACATAGTGCCTTTATTGCCTCCAAAGGGAAGACGACATGGAATCGAGCCCACACTTAAAGTAAGTTTAAATTGTTTAAACACTCCCTTCTCTTTAATTTTTCATTTTACTGTTCATAAGCCTCAATCTGTGTTAATGTATTTCAGATACTTACTGCTTTGAACTTTTATGCCCGAGGAAGTTACCAGGGGTCAGTGGGACAAAATATGGATGGGCCCATGGCACAACAGACAGTGTCCCGTTGTTTACAAGAGGTAACAACTGCACTTAATGCACCCCACATACTAAGGAAGCACATAAGATTCCCACAAAATAGGAATGAAAGGAATCTTATTAAGCAGAAGTAAGTACTTACCTTCCTATCTAGTATTGACCGTTAAACTTATTAACATGTGAAATACCTAGTAATTAAAATATTATTCTGTTATTTTAAATGAACAATTTACATAAAAAGTGTGCCAAGACTAGGCAAATAAGTCATGCAAAAACAAATATAATTTTATTGTACGATTTACTATTCTATAATAATATTGTATCCTTATTGTAGATTTTATGATAAATATGGGCTACCCGCTGTGGTGGGGTGCATCGATTGTTCACATGTAGCCATAGTGAGGCCTTCGGAACACGAGGAACGATATTTTAATCGAAAACATTTTCATTCGATTAATACTCAAGTTGTAAGTTTATGTACAATATTTTAATGTTTTTATTATGACATTCACTATTTTATTACTTACATTTTATCCTATGTTACATTGATGGAAATTCTTTTTCAGATATGTGACAGTGATTTATTAATTACAAATGTTGATGCTTCATATGGTGGAGCAACTCACGACGCTTATATTTGGAGGGAATGTGAGATAAGAAACCACTTGGAGGGTCTCCAGGATGAAACAGTTTATCTATTAGGCATGTCTTGATTTATAGTTTTGATATTCATTATGTGTAAGTAATGTGATGATGCAATTTACACTAATATTATATTTTTAAATTTTTAGGTGATTCTGGTTATGCTCTAAGGGAGCATATGATGACACCTGTAGATAATGCTGTTGAGAACTCTCCAGAGGGAAGGTACAATTACCTCCAAAAACGTGTACGCTGCACCATAGAACGCACATTTGGTGTATTGAAGGGTCGATGGAGATGTCTTTTGGCAGCTAGGGAACTCCATTACTGCCCAGAAACAGCAGGTAAAATTATATTAGCCTGCTGTGTTTTACACAACATGTGTATAAGGGCTGGTATTGAAGGTCCCGAGTTGACTGAAGAGGAACACCAATCGGAGAGAACCAGGCAGGTTCCCTTTGAAACAGCCGCATCTTCTACTCAAGCTCTACAGGCAGGTCGAAGGGCAAGGAATTCATTAATACAAATGTTAGAAAGGAACCGGTAAGATAAACTCAAACCAAACAATTGTGCAAGTAGATTAAAATAAACTCAATTAAAAACTTTTTTTTGTTTTAGGAGATAATCATCATCATCATCATATCAGCCACATTTAAGCCGTTTATTTGTGATTAAGTAACAATCAAAATCCATACTTTCTCATTTATAATATTATAGGATTAGGAATTAATATTACTGAAATGTATGGCACTCACTTCTTACCTAAAACATACACTTCTTATCTTGTTATAATTGTAAGCAATGCGTTTTTTTTCATGTTAACTTTTATGTCTAATGAATTTAGTTAATATTGCATATTGTACAACATTATCTATTTAGGTATGAATTTTCGAGTAGGTACCTAGTAGACAGTGATTTCTCAACTAGTTGAAAGTTATTTGCTCTTACCTTTCCGATGTGTAGATAATTAATTTCAATACATATACATCGTATAGATACAATAATTGTATGTAAACTTTTGTTAATTTTTGTGATGTAAAATTACATTACCTTAAAGGTCATTTTACAAATTTGATGACTCTGTATGAAATATACAAGGAGAAAAAAATCAGCCCTTAACGAGTTAGCCCTTAACGAGTTTCTTGCCGGTTCTTCTCGTTACAAGGTCTCCCGCTTAGGGTTTGAGAACCGATGGCGTAGCTTCTTTGACATTCACAAGTGCTTGTAACAGCCTAGATTAAAATATTTTTAGGCATAAAATTAGTTCTGTTTTATTTTTTCACCTGCTTATCGTTATCCTACCTACCTAGATGTTCATAAAATGGCAACAAATATTTACTTAATCCTTACCTATGACATTGCAGATATTTTGTCACATACAGAGAAAATAATAACTTCTATGATTTTAAATACTTAACAGTATCTTTATATTATATCGAATTATGGTCATGATAATCAACTCTCAGTAATAATAAAGTTCTTATTTTAGCTTTCTTAATCTGAAAGTACAAATAGTCACAAAAATAGTAAAAAGAAACAATAGTATTCAAAAATAAATTTATTTAAAACCTAACGCCTATTTTGCCTTAAAAACTCTAAATAATCTCGCCCTATGTCACGCAACTCTTCCAAGGCAGCCCTGATGCCTGCGAGCTTGGTGTTCCTCACTGTCTCTCTCTGCACGTCCATCTTCATACTGGTACAACCTGCTTCTGACATCGGAGCCAGCAGCAGATCGTATTCTTCTGGGACGTGCAGATTGTGAGGCTGCAAAACAACATTCCAATATGTTACATTGCAGTAAATACTTAATCAATAAGTATATTTTTTGTGACAAACAATATTTTTCTTGTAATTTTAATCTCGACTGTAGTTTAGTGGTAAGACCTTCATGTATCAAATACATCCATACATACCTTCTTGTGTATCAATTTCGATCGAAATTTCGTTTTTCGTTGAATTAGAGTAGACCTGCTGGCTTTCTTTGCTTGGGTCGGCGTACTCCTCAACTTCTACATGCAAGTCCAGGCTCTGCTGCTGCAGTTGGCTTCCTTGACTGTAGGTTGATGGTCTGGATTCATTCGTCTGAAATGAATATAAAAGATTGAATGCTTAATGTTTAAGTGAAGTATTAATTTTTAATGTCTACCACAATACAAATTGTATTGTATTTTTACCTGATGGGTTAAAAAAAGTAGCATACTCACATAGAAAAATAATTTTGTAAATAAAAATCATATATCATTAAGATAAATATTTGAACATATCAAAGTTTAGAAATAGGGAAACCAAAGAATGATGAGGTACTTACTTCAGTGAAAGCTGGCACTCTGGCTCCAATTTGGCGGTCACCGAACCCATCTCCCATTATGGATAAGACTTTTAATTCCGAATGGGAGAGTTGGGGTGCCACTGATGGACCACCTCCAGTCATTGAAGCCGACCTCCGGGAATCAGCAGCGGCTTTTTTGGCCAGATGTTTTCTATCAAACCATACCTATCCAAAATAAAAGTAAATATTAAATCTTTGTCACTCACTTTTCACTGATAAATAGCTTAAGCATTTAATTATATTACTACGAATTACCTTTTGCCACTGCTGAACTGTCTTTGTGCAACCGCCCATGGAATTGAGCGTATTGCACAATTCATCCCACAGCCTCTTCGCCTGGACTTTTCCTTCTAGACTCCTCAATCTCCCGCGAGCAAGATCCCTATGCTCGTCCAGGAAATTGAGGAGTGCATCAATTTGTTCAGGAGTAGCCGAACCCGTATGTGGAGCCATTATTTTACACTGAAAGATGAGATGAAAATAAATTATAGGTACCTATTATTACAAAAAAATATGTTATGGAAGTATTATAAGTGCAAAACAATTAACATTACTTACACTCTTTCTGAATATAAAACCAAATTAAACCAAATAGAAGTCTTTGTGGACCAAAGGACGCCCATATGAAGACTGCGACTTGAAATTGAAACTTTGTCAGGGAATGTGTATCGCGTTTGCAAAGTAGGCAAAGAAAAAAACAAAACATATTAATAACTCTTCACTTGAGCACACAGGAAAGAATCTCTACCTACGTCTTACACTTGAGCTTGAGAAACAAACTTAAAACTATTCAAACTTTCAAAGAATGCAAACAAAAAATCCACAAGTGATGACTGACAGCATTGTGATAATACGGATAAGTTTGGTTGTTATACGATACTATAAACACCGTTTGTTATTATTGTACACCTTAACTTAGTCGGTTAACGGTCATTGAAAGGGTTATTTTAGTGTCACTGTGATTTTCTTCGAAAACTTGTATATTTATTGCTTGTGTAAGATTTTTTGGAATAATATGCATAAAAAACCACGATTATTTTAATAAATTCGTAAAATACATAACATTGTTCGTTCCATTCGTTCACGAAAATTGTCTTTGGACTCGAACTTTGCGTGCGCGTCCGAAAATGATATAGAGTAGGGTCAGACACGAAACTTCGTTTAAATTTCGTTCGTTAACGAAGTTTCGTTTCGGAGAAAGAGAGTAGGCCTCCAGGTAGTGTTTGGCACTGACTGATGAGCTAGGTGTAGTTGTCATTGATGTATTGGCTTTTTCAAGCTTACCTGTGATAACCTGCTCACGAAACTCTGTTATTGTTAGTTTCTTTTTATGGGTATATTGGTTATATAAGAAATGAGCGTTCACCAAGCTTGGTCTGATCCGTAAGTCGCCATCTGGTCTCTGACTTCGATTGACGATTTACCATGGTTATAATCTTCAATACATGCAGGTTTTCTTATGCTTTCACCTCTTCTGTTTCTTTTGGTGACAGGTTCAGATTGCTTTGTGGAAAGCATGAAAACGTCTCGCATGTTACGCCATTTCAATACTATGATACCGTCACGTGATTGTTGAGCTGCTATTTCGCCTTTTTTCAATTTAGTGCTGGTAACTTGCCTAGGTAAGTACTTTCTGTTACTTCTAAGTGCGTCTTTCTTTACGCATTCGCAGTGCAACTGGAACACTTGTGTAGTAGATGTCCGTGTATATGGTCCTGCCCTCATTGAAAAGACCATCTGCCAAAGATAGAACCACCTTTTCTGAGACTTCTGTGTCAGGGTTCTTCGATTTACCACAGTACACAATCAGGTACCATGTATATACCTTTTCAGTACACAATTTGAATAGCTTTATTCCATATTTGGCACTTTTGTTCGGAATGTACTGCCGGAAAATAGCTCTGCCGCGCCAAGCAACCAATGACTCATCGACACAAACTTTTTCTCCTGGTGTGTAAACATTTTTATAGTTTTTTATAAACATATCGATTAGTTCTTTTATTTTGTACAGCCTTTCATTATTATCAGCAGTTTGGTTGTTAGCGAAATGGACAAATTTCCGAATAGCTCGAATCGATTCCAAGGCATAACAGTACGAGCTGGGGGTATTCCATAGAGTTTGTGGTTTCTCCAGTAATCTTTGATACTTGGTAATTTGATCAAACACATCCACCCAACTAGAGCCCAAAATTTCAACATAATATCTTCTCTGTTTACCGGAGTCAATAGGTGGTTTTTTGTATCTTATATTTTTACCCGTGTATCTATTTGGATACACATGGCCTAGGAAGTATGCATTTCAGATAAACTATTTCCCAGGCCGCGTGTATCTAAATGTCACACGGATAAAAATCCCGTAAAAAAAAAGGAAAAAAGGGAGGGTGTCAAAGACAAATACGATTATTATAATGTTTTAAACACATCCGACCAGAAACAGAAATTTGCAAAATTTGAAAGAACGGCCACTTAGGGTCTGGCGCTGAGGGTGCTTTAAATACTAAATATGCCTTTTTACAATTTAATACTGCCTCTTTGCATTTTAAATTCCACCAAGGTAGAGATTTTTTTTAAATTTCTTTTAAGAGATTGCAAGTTGATGTTAACATTTCGATTAGAAGACTGATTGGATGATGTGGATTCATGCATGGCTTGTTTAACTAGTTCTATTAAATCTGTATAACATTGTAAAGGATTACTATAATCAAAACTATAATTTTTAATTAAATTATCTATTAAATTTTGATTATTGACTGTAATTTTTGTCTTTACAGGAAAATGATAGCTGCCAAGAGAATCATCATCACATACTTTACACTCACAAGACAGAGCCAGTGAAGATGAAACAAATGTCAAGTCTAATGCATTCTGCCTCCATCTATGAGATCCTAATGTAGTCATCTGACCATCATTCAAGATTACAAGATTGTTGTCATCTATACTTGCAAGGACATCCCTACCTCGTGAATCCAATTCAGTACATCCCCATAACGTGTGATGGGCGTTGAAATCACCAGCTATAAAGAATGGCTGTGGCAAACTTTGGATTAAATTGTCTAATTTGGATTTATTATAATTAATTAGTGAATTAGAGGGACAGTAAACACTAACTAAAGTTAATAATTTATCATTATATTGTATTTGTACAGCTATATTTTGTAATGAGTCATCAGAGAATGTATTGATAACACGAAATCCAATTTTGTTATGTAGAAGTATTGCTACTCCATTATCATCATTACCTGAATCTTATCGTATAATATTATAACCTTTTACTCTAAAATTGTGCCTAGGTTTTTTTTTTTTTTTTTTTTTTTTTTTATAGGAGAGGGGGCAAACGAGCATGCGGCTCACCTGATGGTAAGTGACTACCGCCGCCCATGAACAACCGCAACACCAGGGGAATTGCAGATGCGTTGCCGGCCTTTTAAAAAGGAGTAGGCTCTTTTCTTGAAGGTCCCTAAGTCGTATCGGTCCGGAAAAATCCCTGGTGGTAAACTATTCCACAAGGAAGTTGTGCGAGGAAGAAAACATCTTCTAAATCGCACAGTGGTGGACCGCCAATCATCCAGATGGTGTGGATGGTATCGGGAGTTCTGCCGCGATGTGCGTTCGTGAAATTTGGCGGCTGGGATTAATCCGAACAATTCCTCAGAGCACTCCCCATGGTAGATGCGAAAGAAAATGCAAAGAGATGCAACATCTCTTCGCAGTGCCAATGAATCGAGCCGATCGGAAAGGGCTCGGTCGTCGACGATTCGAGCCGCTCTGCGCTGGATGCGGTCAAGTGGAAGGAGCTGGCACTGGGGAGCCCCTGCCCAGAGATGGGAACAGTATTCCATGTGAGGCCGAACCTGCGCCTTGTAAAGTTGCAGGCGGTGTGCCGGCATGAAATACTGTCCCGCTCTGCTGAGCACGCCAAGCTTTTTAGAGGCCAATTTGGCCTTCTCTTCCAAGTGACCACGAAACTGCACGTCACTCGATATGTCGACTCCGAGGATACCGATACTGGCTGAGGCAAGAAGGGGAGTGCCTTGAAACTGAGGAGATACGACAAAGGGGTTCTTTTTAGCGGTAAACGCGCAAACTTGTGTCTTCTGAGGATTAAACTGGACTAGATTTAGTCGCCCCCAATCCGAGACTTTGTCCAGCAAAGACTCGACTTCAGACACAAGTTTGTTCCGGTACTCGGCGACGTTTTCCCGAGAAATATTGGCCCGGCCGGTGTATAGAGCATCACCAGTGCTGTCATCCGCATAGCAATGAATGTTACCAGTTAGCAACATATCATTGATATGCAGAAGAAACAGCGTTGGTGATAGCACACAGCCTTGTGGAACACCAGCGTTAATAGGCTTGTAGTCAGAACATGCGCCGTCTACAACGACCTTGATGCTCCGATCTGCAAGAAAGCTGGTGATCCAATTGCACAATTTCTCGGGAAGCCCATAGGAAGGCAGCTTCGAAAGAAGCGCTTTGTGCCAAACCCGATCAAAGGCCTTCGCAATGTCCAGACTAACGGCCAACGCCTCCCCCTTGGACTCTACTGCCTTCGCCCATCTATGGGTCAGGTAGACCAGAAGATCACCAGCTGATCGACCCCGACGAAAACCGTATTGGCGGTCACTAATCAGCTGGTGATCCTCAAGGTACCGGATGAGCTGGCAGTTAATAATGGATTCCATTATTTTGGAGAACAAGGAGGTGATCGCGATAGGCCTATAGTTGGACGGGTCTGAGCGGTCGCCTTTTTTAGGGATCGGGTGGACAAAAGCTGTCTTCCATGAATTCGGGACTACGCCTTGGGAGTAGGAGTACCGGAAAAGACGCGTTAGGACCGGTGCCAACTCCGGAGCACACGTCCTCAGCACAATTGGGGGGATTCCGTCAGGCCCACTCGACTTCTGGATGTCCAGGGAGAGAAGTGCTTTGCGAACTGAGCGCTGTGAGAATAGCACATCCGGCATGGAGCACTCACACCGCGGGATGGTCGGCGGTATTTCCCCCCCGTCATCAAGAGTCGAGTTGGACGCAAAAAGGGAGCCTAAAAGGTCGGCTTTGTCTTTTGCGTCTTGGGCCAGTGAGTCGTCCTCCCTGTGCAGAGATGGTAGTGATGGCTTACAGAAATTCCCTTGGACAGCCTTGGCGAGAGACCAGAATGCACGGGTTCCCGAAGGAAGGCGAACTAGTTTCTCGCCAATTCTGCCTATGTGCTCTGACTTTGCCTTGGCAATAACTCTTTTGAAGGACCTGGAGGCGAAGTTATACTTCTTTTTAAGTGTGCTGGTGTTTACATCCCGAGTCACCGAAGCCGCAGCCCAGGCTTGATAACACTCCTGCTTACTGCGCAATGCAGTCTTACAGGAGCGACCAAACCAAGGCTGAGATCTGCCTCCGATGGGTACCACAGATGATGGAATAAATAGTTCCATTCCCTGTAGCACCACATCAGTGACAGAGTCAGCAACAGCACTGGGATCATCCAGCGAGAAGCAAACCCGCCCCCAT